GTGGAGCTTATGACTCACTCAGTAAATGACTGCCATTGTTATTACCCCTTCTCTGGAAATAAGCTACAGGGTAAACTTTGCCCAGCCCTAGTAAGAGGTCAGTCTTAGCCCTGCTTTGACCAGAAGCCACTTAAAAGTCTGGTCACAAACTTGCTTTTTCTGGGTTCTTTTGAAGATCAAGCTGGCTGAGGTGCCCTGTAACTTGCGTATAAAGCAGAATTGTGTGTGTGTGTGTGTGTGTGTGTGTGTGTGTGTGTGTGTGTGTGTATGCCTACAGCTCAGATGTTCAGTTGTTTGATGACTACTTCTCAATATCCAAAGCCTACCTCCTGGCAACATCACTATGAGTGGTATGTGTGTCAGGAAAGGGACACAGCTGGGACATTTAGGGTTGGCAGCTGCTTTGTGGCTACAGCCTTAGCTTAAGTGTGGAATTAGAGAAGTCTCGTCTGAAAGACCATTTCAAGCCAGGGACACTAGGCATCAGAGGGACCCAGCAAATTTTTTGTCTCAACATTCTGAGTCTCCCTTTCTCCTGCTCCCCTCGTACCCTTTCTCACCCAGCACTGTCCTTTCACTTGGTCCCTCTAGACCACAGTCTCTTTCTTCATAAACTATTTTTTTTAATCAGTCAGAATAGGCTGCTGTAGCTCATACCTGTAATCCCAGCACTTTGGGAAGCCGAGGTGGGCAGATTGTTTTTGGCCAGAGTTTGAGACCAGCCTGGTTAACATGGTGAAACCCCATCTCTATTAAAAATACAAAAAAAAAAAAAATACCCAGGCATAGTGGCGGGCACCTGTAGACCCAGCTACTCAAGAGGCTGAGGTTGCAGTGAGCTGAGATCGTGCCACTGCCCTCCAGCCTGGGCAACAAAGCCCTCAGAAAAAATAAAAATAAATTAAAAAGTCTCAGAATAGAATATCCATTCGGCTGGAGGCTACTCAGCATTTCAAGAGCAGGGAAATCTGCTCTTTACCTTTTCTCCATCCCAAATAACTCCTTTCTTGGAAACAGCTTTATTGAGGTATAATTTGCATACCATAAAATGCAATCATACATTTTCATCACCCCAAACATATCCTCTGTTCCAATTTGCAGTCACTCCCCTTTCCAACCTCGGGACCCAGGGAACCACTATTCTACTTCCTGTTTTTATAGATTTGCCTTTTCTGGACATTTCCTGTTAATGAAATCTTACCGTATTTTGTTGTTGTTGTTGTTTTTGTCTGGGTGTTTTTATTTAGCATAGTGCCTTTGTTAATCCATATTGTAGAATTTATCATTCCTTTTTATTGCTGAATAACATTCCATGGTATGAAGGTAGCCACTTGTTTATCCATTCACCAGCTGATAAACATTTGGGTTGTTTCCAGCATTTTGGGGGGATGAGGTTGTTTCCAGTTTCCATTTCAAATACTCTCAATTGTTTTTAATTGTTCTGCTCTATCCACCCCGTCCATATCATTTCTCCTTAGAATCCCTTCTATCCAACAGGAGAGGTTCAGATACTAGGCACTTCCCCAAAATAAATAAAAATAAGAAAACCTGACAAATGTTCACCACACCTACAACTGAATTCTATATTTTAAGTGGATATGCTATAAACAAAGATTCAAATAACTTCCACTTATAATGCAAATAAAGACTTCTTTTACGTTTGCTAGTTACATTTATCCTTTATATAGAAATAATTTTAAAATGCGGAAAATGTAGATACAAGCTACATATAACATCCATCAGATACTCAGATGTACAAGTGCTAATATTCAAAGTAAAATGTGAAACTTGAATAGTATGCTCTGAATCTTTATATGCCCTCCAAAATCACATGTTGAAATTTTCAGCCCAAGGGTGATGGTATCAGGAGGTGGGACCCTTGGCAGGTAATTAGGTCATAAGGACAGAGCGCTCATTAATTAGGACTAGTGCTCTTATAAAAGAAACGCAAGAGAACACCCCTCCACCCCTTCTACCCTGTAAAGACACAAGGAAAACATGGCCATCTATGAACCAGGAAGTAGCAGACAACAAATCTGCCAATGCCTTGATCTTGGACTTCCCAGGCTCCAGAACTGTGAGAAATAAGCTTCTGTTGTTTAAGCCACCAGTTTATAGGATTTTGTTACAGCATCCTGGTGGACTAAGACAAATGGAGTAATGAGGATTGCCGAGGGCGAGAATTCCTTTTTGCTACAAGCACATAATCTCACTTTGATTATTGTGGTTAATGATAATCTAGGAAGAAAACTTATTTGTAATTCTCAAATCATTCAGAAAATTATAATACATATTTATATATGTGTGTATGTACATTTATATGTGTATATACAAAGAGAGAGGGGAAAAAAAGCAAATGTGGCAAAATATTAATAATTGGTGAACCTGGGCCGGTGCAGTGGCTCATGCCTGTAATCCCAGCACTTTGGTAGTCTGAGGCAGGCAGATCACTTGAGGTCAGGAATTTCAGACCAGCCTGGCCAACATGATGAAACCCTGTCTCTACTAAAAATACAAAAAAAAAAAAAAATAGCCAGGCATGGTGTGTTGCACACTTCTAGTCCCAGCTACTAAGGGGGCTGAGGCAGGAGGATCGCTTGAATCCATGAGGCAAAGGCTGCAGTGAGCCAAGATTGCGCTACTGCACTCCAGCCTGGGCAACAAAGTAAGACTCTGTCTCAATAAATAATTAATCGGTGAACTCAGATGAAGTATATAGGGCAATTCTTTGTGCTCTTCTTGCATTTTTTTCTATACATTTGCAATTATTATTTTTCTATTTTTTGAGAGTCTCTGTCTGTCACCCAGGCTGGAATGCAGTGGGACCATCTTGGCTCACTGCAACCTCCGCCTCCCAGGTTCAAGTGATTCTCCCGCCTCAGCCTCCCAAGTAGCTGAGACTACAGACATGTGCACCACCGCACCTGGCTAATTTTTGTATTTTTTAGTAGAGACGGGGTTTCACTATGTTGGCCAGGCTGGTCTCGAACTCCTGACCTCAGGTGATCCACCCGCCTTGGCTTTCCAAAGTGCTGGGATTACACGTGTGAGCCACCGTGCCCAGCAGCAATTATTTTTAAATAAAAAGTTAAAATAAATTTCCCCCAAAAGAGTGGAGAAAGTTCATTCTCATTCAGTCCAGTTTGTCTCTAGCTGGAGCACCAGGAGATGCTTCCCTGAGTCAGTACCAATAGATTTGGGAAGTGCCACATGACAGTCTTTAGTTTCCCTCAATTGTCTATTAAGAATCAAATTTCCATGGTATTAAAGGTGGCTTGAACCCATTTAGCTTTTTGTCTTATATAGCTTCGGGAGCCTTGAATATCATCATCTTGAATATATAAGCCACAATGTGAAGTAGTATATTTGTTTCTTGGTTCTGAATGAATCTCTTCCACATACATCAAGTGGAACTACCTTCCTCATAGTCTTTAATCTGCAAAACGTTACTCTGCTCCCTCCCCCATTTTCTTCCCTGTAAGACAGTGTGGGCCTCTTCACATCCGAAAGTGATGCTTGTTGAGACTTAAGGATATTTCATCCTTAAATAGTTACTGGGAGTTACTGTGCCTTGCTGGAATAAAGTGTTGCCCCAATTTACTGTTCTATAGGAACAACTACTTCCCAGAGGTAAAAGGAAGGAAAGCAAACGGAAATAGAAATTTGAACAAAGAAATCCAGCACCACTGACCACTGTCCCAATAGCTATACTGATCAGCACTTATTTATTGAGTTCTAGGACACTGAAGAATTTTAAAACGTTAGACCCTTCCTTAGTTGGGAAAAATTGATGAAAGCACAGTACCAGAATCCAGAGGTCTGAGTGCAGCAGCATACTCTCCTGTATATCATGTTTAGCTTTTCTGACTAGCCACACTCAGTGTAGCATGTATCTTCATATCAACCCCCAAACACCGTTCTCTGAACATTTCGAGCTCCTCTAATCCCCCCAGAGTATCCATTGCTTATTTTAAAATTTCAAGGCTAGTTCTACCAAATCATCTTATCTGAGAATTTTTTATTTCTAGAGACAGAGGATCACTCTGTCTCTAGATAGAGTGTGTACGCCATCATGCCTGGTTTATTTGTTTCTTAGAGGTGGGGGCAGGGGTCTCACTTTGTTGCTCAGTCTGGTCTTGAACTTCTGGCCTTAAGCAATCCTCCCGCCTCCACCTCCCCAAATTCTGGGATTACAGGCATGAGCCAGTGTGCCCAGCCCAAAATTATTTTTACCAACTTTAAAATATAATTTTTTAAAAAATCTTAAACGCCTTCCACATAGATATTGTTGATTTTTCTTTCATTTCTCTTGTCATGGTAAATCCTCTAGGAATGCTCTCTGAAAAGCAGCTTTAATTCATCATGCAGTTGCCTTCATCACCATCACTTGTTGAAAAGTCTTATTAGTATGTAAAGCAGTTCTAATTTGGAGCTCTAAAATTACCTCTAAAAACTCATAATAAACTGAGAGTCATCCATAATTAGATTTTTTTTAATAGGACTTCTAACTTGTTTTCATTATCCAGCTGTGTTTGATCTCAGCCAGCTGTTGATGGGACTGAGGTGGTTGTAAGGGTTGGGGAAAAGAAGAGGAAGCTCATCTCTGCAGAGTGGGTGGGGGAAGCTTTAGTTCTGTTTAAAACACTGGTTCTCAAAGTGTGGTCTCCCACCCTGCAGCATCAGAGTCTCATGGGAACTTGTTAGAAATGATTTCGTGGGTCCTACTCCAGACCCACTGGATCAGGCCATCAGGTGAAGTTCAAAGAACTTGGTTCAGATGTAGTGTTCACTAAATTACAGACTGCAGTCAAGATTTTAGGAACAGCTGGTTGAAAATAATTGCCTTCACTGGCTCTAGTGACCCCCAAGGAACATACGCCACTTACATGTATGTTCTCTTCATTCATCATTTATGGGTATATTTGTATTACTCCACAGGGCTGACGATTTGGTATTAGACTTGCTAATGAGCAGCAGCCATGTGGTCCTGCTATCTGACAGTCAGTACAGTCACAAGTATATTGTATGCAGCAGAGAAGAGCTTAACAGCCAGCCTCCTTCCACATTCTGCTCTCAGGAAATAAGCAAGGGGAGGATCCAGAGGTGTCATTTGACACTGACGACGCAGTACTTATTTCCTATGCAAAAGAGCCCAGGCAGGAAGACAAACCTAAATAAGAAGCTAACTTCTGTAAGAAGCTGTGAAGAGTGATGCTGGCAGCTGCGTTTGCAGACTCTAACTCCAGCAGCATGAATGTGTCCTTTGCTCATCTCCACTTTGCCGGAGGGTACATGCCCTCTGATTCCCAGGACTGGAGAACCATCATCCCGGCTCTCTTGGTGGCTGTCTGCCTGGTGGGCTTCGTGGGAAACCTGTGTGTGATTGGCATCCTCCTTCACAATGCTTGGAAAGGAAAGCCATCCATGATCCACTCCCTGATTCTGAATCTCAGCCTGGCTGATCTCTCTCTCCTGCTGTTTTCTGCACCTGTCCGAGCTACAGCATACTCCAGAAGTGTTTGGGATCTAGGCTGGTTTGTCTGCAAGTCCTCTGACTGGTTTATCCACACATGCATGGCAGCCAAGAGCCTGACAATCGTTGTGGTGGCCAAAATATGCTTCATGTATGCAAGTGACCCGGCCAAGCAAGTGAGTATCCATAACTACACCATCTGGTCCGTGCTGGTGGCCATCTGGACTGTGGCCAGCCTGTTACCCCTGCCAGAATGGTTCTTTAGCACCATCAGGCATCATGAAGGTGTGGAAATGTGCCTCGTGGATGTACCAGCTGTGGCTGAAGAGTTTATGTCAATGTTTGGTAAGCTCTACCCACTCCTGGCATTTGGCCTTCCATTACTTTTTGCAAGCTTTTATTTCTGGAGAGCTTATGACCAATGTAAAAAACGAGGAACTAAGACTCAAAATCTTAGAAACCAGATACGCTCAAAGCAAGTCACAGTGATGCTGCTGAGCATCGCCATCACCTCTGCTCTCCTGTGGCTCCCCGAGTGGGTAGCTTGGCTGTGGGTATGGCATCTGAAGGCTGCAGGCCCGGCCCCACCACAAGGGTTCATAGCCCTGTCTCAAGTCCTGATGTTTTCCATCTCTTCAGCAAATCCTCTTATTTTTCTTGTGATGTCAGAGGAGTTCAGGGAAGGCTTGAAAGGTGTATGGAAATGGATGATAACCAAAAAACCTCCAGCTATCTCAGAGTCGCAGGACATACCAGCTGGCAACTCAGAGGGTCTTCCTGACAAGGTTCCATCTCCAGAATCCCCAGCATCCATACCAGAAAAAGAGAAACCCAGCTCTCCTTCCTCTGGCAAAGGGAAAACTGAGAAGGCAGAGATTCCCGTCCTTCCTGATGTAGAGCAGTTTTGGCATGAGAGGGACACAGTCCCTTCTGTACAGGACAATGACCCTATCCCCTGGGAACATGAAGATCAAGAGACAGGGGAAGGTGTTAAATAGATTTAAGTTTCAAAGCAAAACAAATTGTGATTATTGTATTTACTTGTACTGCTGCTTATCAATATTGCTGACTTTACAAACTGTAATACAATTATTACCATTAGGAATTACAAAAATATTTCACAATCTACACTTTCCAAATGTGCAATGTGGTAAGTAGAGAACCATGTTAGAATAGATAATTATGTTTCAGAATTAGAACCTGGCTTCCCAAACAATTTAATTGTTTAAAGATGTTGCTGTCAAAGTGATTAGATAGCCCGGCTATTCTGTCATTTGTTCACAATGGTTTCACTGGGTACCCCCTAGGACCAGCCCTGTAGTGGACCGGCTGGAGCCTGGAGTAGAGGTTCTGTCAAAGCTGAGCCCCTCTACCTTCAGTTTCATCCTGGACCTGCTAGTCCTAATTTTACCTACCAAATTGTATTTCACATAACCAAAGCTCAAAATCTACTTTCACTTGAGATTTTTAACACATTAATGATAAATTTTAGTTATCTTCATTTACTTAATAAATGTTAATTTACTTGATGAAAAGTCCGTATCATCATGTTCATGACTGAAGGTCAAAGAAAAAGAAACAGCACCTGATTCCAATTCTGGACTAATTTCAACCCATGGCTGGTTCTGGCTAAGTTTAAATAAATTCCAACTTATACTAAAGCCTGCTTCAGTGAACTTTTTAAAGCTACCTGAATGAGTCTTCAGTTTCTGAGAATTTTAGCAGCTTTCCAATGACTTTCAATAGTCTGATATGGGGGGAAAAAGTACTTTAAAAATGCCCTCTCTTCACTTCCAGAATGTGGGACAGTTATTTTTCTATAAGCAGAAATGTGTTCCTCTTAATATCTCCTTTCTCCCAAGATAAACCATGGTTAATGATATAGGTATAGATTACTCCTCAAATATAAATAGAAGATGGAGATGGTGATCTTTCTTGTTAATGGTACTAAACTTACCCTCACCCATAACGCTGAACTTGAACCCTACTCAACTTTTAAAATACTATAGGATTTCTAAGTTATAAAAATAATCGAGCAACCTGAGAAAGAGACTGATGTTAAAAAGAGAAAATCCAACAAACACAAGACAGAATTTGGTTAAGAATACAAAATAAAAAGCATAAGGGCAATGCAGAAAGAAAAGCAGTAAAACTGTGTACCCAGACATATGGTAAAATTTGAGTAATAGGCAATAACCATTCATTTTATGGCAAGGTAAAACACACCCAGTAAAACATGATTATGATACATTTCTTCCCCTTTTAAGTATAATGATATTCGTCCATGATGCTTGATTACTTTGTTATAGAACTCGGGTATTTTCACTGAAAGGTTCCCTCAGAACAGAAAAATGCCTTTAGGGCAAACGAAGCAATGCACAATCTGAAATATAAAGAATTATGTTATGGAAAAAAAAAAGATGTTGTTTTTTATGTTGTGTATGGGTTTCCGGATTCTTTGCTTTTTCATAAGTGGTCATAGTTTGCTTTTTAACACAGGAGGTAGGGCTATATTCTTTTTACTTCCTTCATTACAGATTTTATGTAAAGCTCATGTATTCAAATACAGTAAAATTTAACCCAAGAATCCAAAATATTGTTTTGTGATATGGTAGTTACAGAAAGGATTATCATTGTCTGTGATTATTTGAATTAATAGTTTTTATGTTCATTATATGTAGTAAACTTAGGATGTAAGCTTCCAGGGTTTGACACTTTAAACTTGTAAAGAAATAAAATTACGTTTTACTTCAGATTGTTTCTGGAGATTTAAAGCTGTCTTTGTCTTGAATTATCATTCCAAAATCATTATTGGGAACAATGGAGCTTTATGAGGCCATTTGACCTTAACACTGGAACATGTCTCAGAGTGAACTTATTTTCAGAGTTTGCTAACAAGCACCAAATCAAGATGCAGACACTGGAACAAAGAGTAATCACAATGAACCTTTCATTAAGAACCTGATACACAAAGTAAGTCCTGACTTGATCCCTTAAAAAATCTGCTTAGAGAAGTTTGATTTGTGTCTTATCTGCTCAATCCCGAGCAGATACTTTTAAGATAAAAGTAGGAAATTAGAACAGATATCACCAAACTGTTTTCTTCTCACTTCTCTACTATGAGAAACAATGTAGTAAGTGGACAAACAATACTATGTGGAATTCAGAATAACAAAATAAGGCATTCTGGAAACTTTACCCTTGTGAGACAGTCATATTTCTACATACTACATTATAGTTGTGCTCCTCTTGGCAAGCACTTCAGTTTCATTCCTCAGAGTACTTAAAAATCACTCAATGAACTTATAAAATGAACTTCAAAGAAAGAGAAAAAAGGAAACAAAACAAGGCCAGGTGTGGTGGTTGACACCTGTAATCCTAGCACTTTGGGTGGCTGAGGTGGGAGAATGGCTTGAGGCCGGGAGTTTGAGACCAGCCTGGGCAACAGAGTGAAACCATTTCTAAAAAAAAAAAAAAAAGCCAGACATGGTAATGCGGTAATGCATTCCTGCAGTCTCAGCTACTCAGAAGGATCACTGAAACCAGGAGTTCAACATTACAGTGAGCTATGATGGCACCACTACACTCCAGCCTAGGAGACAGTGAGATCCTTTGTACGAATTAAAAGAAAAAACATATCCTGTTTATCAACTTTATAGCTGAAGACCTTAGTCTGATCAATGCCAGGTTCCTACATACAGAGTTCACAAAATTTCTATGATACTTAATAGATTTAAGCTAAGAACTATATAACATGAATGTGAATGCGTGTGTCTGTGACTATACACACAACATACAAACACAGATCTGTTGGTATTCCTTCTTTCTAGGATTTGTTACAATCATAGTGGGTAAAAGATAATGGAAAATAAATTATTCTATTAATATATATATTTTCTTAAACATTTATTTATGTGGCACTCTGAAGCGAGCAATTTATGAGGGGATAAAATAAAAAGATTTGTTTTCAACTCGGGAGGTAAAGCTAGATACATCAATTTGGAACCGATTCATGGTGTGACGCACACATGTTGAAAGAATGCCAAAAAGGTGCAAACCATCATACAGTACAAAGGACAAAAACAAAAAAAACCCCAGCATCTTCTTGCTTTGAGGCAATAAGGCACTGCTAAAAAGACTTGAGCACCAAAATGATTCTCTACAAATTCTTTCCTTTTTATACTGCAAATACTAATTATATTCAAACCTTTAAAAACTAGGTAATACTTAAGATTTAGAGTCAACTTACTTTGTGCGAAATTCTATTTGCTGCTTTTTTAAAAATCAGGTTAAAATAAGCTCTTAAAAATTAAGTAACAATAATCATATACAATACAGATATATAAAAAGGGTTGGTTTATTGTAGTTCAAATACATAAACTGAACATTCAAACATCTTAAAATTAAACTTTAGCAACAAAGTTTAACATTCAAACAGGAGTATAGTTTACAAGAAACACCCAGAAAGGTAATTTGTTGTCTAATCCAGAATATTGATAAAGATCACTTAATGGTGAATAAAATATGTTTAACCAGTGGTTCTATTCTGGCCAACATGTTAGTTATGACCGTGGTTCCATACCTGAGAAGAAATTACTACATAAATCTTCTCTTAGGCTAAACAACAAGACTTGGTCTATAATTCAGAGGGGATAATCAAAGCACGTAAGTGAACAAATAAAACTAATCTGATCTTTAGAGACAAAGGTAAAAGTATTGTCCATTATAATAATCGTAGCCTCTGGAAGATAAGAATTCAATTTTCAGTGTCTTCTCTTTTACCCGCTTTAAAAAAAAAAAATCAAAACAAAACAAACCCCAACTCAGGTTTTCTTGGAGTCTGTAGTATTTGCATCTGGCAAGTTCAAGCCACAAATGCTCTTACTTCTTGCATGTATTAACACTGCTAGGAAGAACGTCACCAAGTCACTGACTTCCACACCTCATAAAAGGATGAATTTTAGCTTCAAGATTTTAAGATTTACTAGAGACAGCCTATATTTGAGTATGTATGTCAGTCATGCCACACAAAGAAAAGCATAAATATTTCCAAAGTGTTCTGTTCAGAAACTGTTCACAAATGCTTCTCCTTCTGTTTGTCAGATGGTTTTGCAATAGGTTGACTAATGCACATATATGTAAAAACCTGAAAATTGGCTCATGCAAGCATTTTGAATAGATACCCCTGTGGAAGAGTATTTAGAATTATTTTGTTGATCGTCTCGTGGGCTCTGATGCTGTAGGTGGTGGGGGTGGACCCCGGCGATCCAGGTCATCAACATATGCCACAATCAGTTTACGCCTCTCCTCTGGCACACAGTCCAGTACTAAATACCGTTTGTCATTCTGTAAAATTTTTTCTACATCTTTCAGGTGCTGATCAGATTCTTGGATTAATTTTTTGGATCTGAAATAAGAAAAAGAAGTCCAAGAATTACTGACGGCTGTTCACAGGTCTTTCAGAAATGAGCTGGAAATGTCCATCTAGTTCCTAATTGTGTTTCCACTTTTTTTTTTTTTTTAAGAAAAATTTCACTGCAGTGGTCACCTTTGTAAGTCGCCTCAGCAAAGACTCCAAGGAGTGAAAGGGCCTCAGAAGCTGAATTACCCTCCCACCCCTAGTGGTGGTCCCTCCAGATCAGGGCTGAGGGTGGGTGGGTAAATCTTGCCCGTGCTGTACCTGTTCTGTGGATGAACAGAGGACTTCAGTCTGCGGGGCTGCCAATCCCAGCATCTTTCACAAGCTTTCACTTTCACATCTTTCACTAAATTAACTATAAAAATGTAGAAAGAAGTCTTACTTCACATCTAATTTAAAAGCCCAAGCTGATGCAAAACATTAAGGATCCTGACCAAAAAATCCAAATGACAAAATATCTAAAAACCACACCCTCAGCACTATCTAGCCTCCCGTGCACATACCCTTTATTAAGATGTTTCAAATTTCTCTCTTAAAGAAGAAAAGCTGGAGCATGAAACAAAAATGGTTTCCTGCATACTGACTGGTTAAGCAATGCAAAATTGTTTTCCT